GGCAGCCCTTGCCCCAGCCCCAATTCTTTCCTTGCTGCCGAGGCATTGATCTGCACCCCCACCACAACAGAGTTACCAGCTTGAGGCAGCTGTGTCCAGTGTGGTAAAGGAACCAATCCCCTTTTTATAACATTGTTCCTATAGGAAAACTGGTTCTGAGTTACAACGTTTCGACTTAAGACGCGGTTTTCAGGAACCAATTGCATCATAAGTCGGAGGACTGCCTGTACCTGGGAATAGACTGTAGGTCATATCAATTCCTGTGACACTCCATTTGTCACATTCCTCCAACTAAGCATGCATATTCCATTATATTTTGGCCTATATATGGGGAGTTTCCAAAATCTCCAGGAGAATTAGGATCATTTTTCAGCGTAACATGCAATTCTAAATCACTTTGGCACTATTTAAAAGAACACTACTGAGCCTTTGACACTACTCTTATGTGGTACTACAGCAAAAAACTCTTTCACAAATAAATTTCTTCATCCCTAAGAATTCTTTGTCCATTCCTTTAATTACTTAATCATATTTATTAAACATGATGTTCCCTTTTATAAATCTGTGCTGACTGCTTTTGACCTGCCTGCACCAAGAGGTCTGCAAATAATTCTGTGGTCTTTAGCCCAATAAGTTTTAAAAGCAGTCTTTGCTCAAATAAAGGAAAATTCACAACTGTGATCCTAATAAAAAAATACTAGAATGTCTGAATTTTTCCTTAGTAATGCTAAGCTTGGACAATCTGTCTACCTCAGTAATCTCCTCAACCTGAAGCGCCTTGTTTCATAAAACAGAATGACAGAATGATCCCCACAGCAAAAAATGAACGTAAAATTAGTAGGAAAAATAGCACGGAAACATAACACTACCATAGAACACAGAAATTAAGGTCAGTTAGCAGAATCAAAAATTACATATATAGGTAATATACTCTGTAGAGAGATCAGCATTTTTTAAAGATATGACTGCCCTTCTCACCATATTTGGCTTCTCTTAGAATATGTTAGGCAGAAAGCAAGGCAGAATGGCACCTTAGGCCCCCTCTACACATTACAACAAAGGTGCAATTAACCAGTTAACCAATTAATGACATGATAACCAATAAGCTATAAAGTTATTCCACAGAAAATGTGTAATGTAGCTTGTTCCAATCGTGACATTAATGGAATGTGTGGCCACGTGCTCCCCTATGGTGGGGAGTCCCATCAACTGTGGAGCTCTCAGCCACAGCGGTGTCCCATCCACTGCCAACCCTGCAGCTAACAAGGCTTGAAGTGGTTGCAGCATTCCTGGCACTGCCTCCAATGTGAGCCTCATCAGCCACGGTGCTTGCAGCTGGGAAAATGCTGCCCCTCTGCAAGCCTCATCAGGTGTAGGGCTCACAGCAGGAGCAGCGCTGTGAATGATGCCACTACTGCAAGCCTCAGCAGCTGTGGGGCTCGCAATGGGGGCAGCAGGGAAAATGCTGCCACTGCTGCAAGCCCCACACCTCAGGAAGCTCACAGCAGCAGCATTCTCCCCACTTTTTTTTTTTTTTTTTTTATAAATCAAATTTTGTATCTCAGGCCAAATCAGTCAAATCCATTCCAAATTCCATCAACTGAGCAGAGCTTTTTTTTTTTCCCCTTTATTTGAGCAAAGAGTGCTTTTAAAACTTATTGGGCTAAAGACCACAGAATTATTTGCAGAGCTCAGTTGTTCACATCCATATGGCACTACCACTGGCAAGCATCCCCCCAAACTCCTCAGCCTGGTGCTTCCGATATCCCTAACATACTACGATTCACAAGTACCTTACCTCCCAGACTCTTCAGCCTGGAGCTTCAGATACTTCCAAATCCATGGCAGGCATCCTACATGCAGGCCCAAGGCCAGAGGTCTTGCGGGGTTTGGATGCCCCTGCGTCTCACTTTCCCTTCGCCAACAGATCAAAAGGCACAAGCTAGGGAGTAATCTCTCATCTCCATAAAATAGGCACATAGTCGAGATCCTTCCATTGGGAGGCTATAGTAGACTCTCATAGAGGGCCTTGTCTCCAGTGCATTGGATGGGTCTCCACCCTTCACTACACAATGCCATTCAAGGTGATCTGATTTCAACAGGAAAACCACACCATGGCACCTCCTCAGGCTAAGCCAAAAGTGCTGCCCCACACTGCAAGCCCCACAGCCCACATCAGCTGTGGGGCTCACCTGCTGCAAGCCTTAGGAGGTGTGGGGCTTGCAGCATGGGCAGTGGCAAGAGCTTTGCCACTGCTGTGAGCTTTGTGAGGTGCAGGCCTTGCAGCAGTGCTGGTGGAGCCCAGGATTGTGATACTGGGCTCCTCCTACACCAACAAGAACGTGTGATGGGATATGAAACATGATCCCACAATCATGCCTCCTGCTATGCACGTGTGGCATGTCAGGAGGTGCAATTGTGTGGATTGTAATTGTGTGGAGATGCAATTGTGTAGATCCCATTGTGGTTCTACCTGTGTGTGTAGAGGGGTCCTTACTATCCTGTTCAGAAAGGCATTAACTTTTATAGGCAACAGACTACTTCATCTCAGTCTGTTGCAGTACATCCAGACTTCCTGATTATGAATACCTTATGGTACAGGACTGTCTAGTACTAAATGAGGAGATATGAAGCAACTGTTAGTTAAATCTAGCCTCAAATAACAGAGACCAAAAGTTAATGCCATGTGTCTATTGTTCCATTTGTTGAGTCTCAATCCAGTTACCAGCATCTTTCACACTGTGATATCATACCTCCATCCAAAGTATATAAAATTGTAACCATCTTCTGTATTTGGATCAGAATTAAGCACTGTTCAAAATTCTCTTCTTACTGTTTACCTTTCCAAGAGTGTGTTCACCATTTTTTCAAATGTTTCATCACATCTCAGCAGGGGGCTTGTGATTCCCCATTGTAGAGATTTGCTATATTCAGTTAAGCCAAAATATAGCTTTTCTTCACTGCCCACATCGTCCTATTCCAGAGAGATCAGAAACATAACAAAGGTCAGAGATAGTTTACACTTGTCACACAACTACAAACTCTAGTCAATACATAGATTCACAGAAGTAGGGTCGGAAGGGACCTTGTAGATCATCAAGTCTGACCACCTGCCCTGGGCAAGAGAGAAAACAGGGCTCAAATGACCCTAGCCAGATAGACATCAAGCCTTCTCTTAAAGACCCCCAGGGTAGGAGCCATCACCACTTCCCTTGGAAGTTGGTTCCAGATCCTAGCCTCCCTGACTGTGAAGTAGTGCCTTGGGATGTCTAGTCTAAACCTACTGTCTAACAACTTGTGGCCATTATTCCTTGTTACCCTGGGCGGGTGCTAGGGGGAACAAGTTCTCTCCCAAACCCTGCTGGTCCCCCCTAGTGAGTTTATAGATGGCCACCAGGTCCCCCCTCAGCCTTCTCTTGCAAAGGCTGAACAGGTTCAGGTCCTGTAGCCTCTCTTTGTAGGGTCTGCCTGGCTGTCCGCAGATCATGCGGGTGGCCCTCCTCTGGACCCTCTCAATGGTGTCCACATCCCTCCTGAAGTGTGGCACCCAGAACTGAACACAGTACTCCAGCTACGGCCTGACCAGTGTCGCATACACGGGGAGGATCACCTCCCTGGCCCTGCTTGAGATGCATCTGTGGATGCACGACAAGGTATGGTTAACCCTACTGATCGTCACCTCGCATTGTCGGCCCATGTTCATCTTGGAGTCAACAATGACTCCAAGATCTTTCTGCCACCATGCTCTCGAGAAGGGATTTTCCCAACTTATAAGTGTGCTGCTGGTTCCTACTGCCCAAGTGCAGCACTCTGCACTTGTCAGTATTGAAACCCATCCTATTTTCATTAGCCTACCCTTGTAACCTGTCCAGGTCCTGCTGTAATCTGTCTTTCCCTACTAGTGTGCCCACCTCACCCCAAATCTTGGTATCACCAGCAAATTTAAACAGGCTGCTTTTCACCCCATCATCCAAGTCACTAATGAAGAAGCTGAACAATGCAGGCCCAAGGACCGAACCCTGGGGGACTCCACTGCCCACTTCCCTCCAGGTCGAAAAAGACCCATCCACCACCACTACCCTCTGAGTATGACCCTTCAGCCAATCTGCAATACATCTGACTGTGTAGGCATCAATGCCTCAGTCACCTAGTTTTTTTAATGAGGACGGGGTGGGAGGCTGTGTCAAAGGCCTTGCTGAGGTCCAGAAATACTATATCCACAGTGACACCTGCATCCAATGCTTTTGTGACCCGATCATAGAAGGCAATCAGGTTGGTCTGACAGGACCTGCCCCTAATGGAGCAGTGCTGGTTGCCCTTGAGCACCATCCCTGCTGCTGGCCCAGCACAGATTTTTACTAGGGCTGCAATCCACCTATATACTTAAACACACAGAAAAGATGAAACACACAAGCAGATTTATTGAAGTTAATGGGCCTATGCACATGCCTAAAGTTATTCATATCTACAAGTGCTTTGCTGCACCAAAGCCTGCTTTAGCCTTTCTTATACCATCTGACTTGGGTAAAGAAAAACACTCTGATCCTTATGCTAGAAAGCAGTTGCACTTCCAAAAGCTCCAAGGAAAAAGGGTCAGGGGATTGCACTGGCCCATCAGGTAAGAAATGAATTCCAACCTGGAAAATAGATTTCTCCAAGATTTCTGTTTATACACCTGGGTTACACAAAATAGAATTTGACAGATGTAGAAGGTGCTACAATTTAAGGCTCAGCAGTTACTTACAATACTTACTGTATTGTCCAATTGTATCCAGTGTACCTCATTGTTAGAGCTTATCCTGGACTGCTGCGTTTGTAGAGTGTAGGGAAAAGAGCTGACCTGAAGAACAAGGAGATTGAAAGCCTCAAGAACCTCTCTGCAATTTATAACTCTATCTGCCAATCCATGACTGGGTTCCCCATGTGATAGTGAACTTGAGATGGCACTGCAGAAATAAAGAAAATGAAATGTTCATTTTGTATTTTTCAAATTCAACTGGTCAAAATAAAATCTCCAGATGAACAGCTCTACATGAATATGTTCTCTGAAATGAGCAAGAGATCCCCAAACCACCTAGATGACCTGCAGAGAAAAGTCCAGGAGTGAGAGAGAAAAATAAAACAAATAATGAAGCAAAGTCTTCCACCATGATATGACTAAATCAGCCTGCCAATTTAAGAAAGTACCAGAAGGGAGGTTATTATAAACAAGCTGAATACAGATTAACTGTCTTTTAGCTGCAGAGAGCTGTTCCATGCTTTTGCAGAAGGTGAGTAACTGAATTCCTGATACAGAACCAGTCCTTACATACAGAACTCAAGGCAGGAGGACACTCTCCTGTGCTCACTTACTTCAGTGGACCTACAGGATACAATAGACCAAATCTGGAATTCCTCAGAGAAAACACAAATTTGTTTTTGGGAAAAAATAATTGACAAGATGCTTTCATCTCCTTCAGTTGAGGGTTACTTCATAGACTGTGTTTTGTATATTATAATTCTACCAATGAAAGGAAAGAGAGAGATAGCACGAGAGTGAGCGAGAGCACAAGAGCATGAGAGAGACCATAAGAGAGCGTGCAAGAGCGGCATACAAGAGTGTACGTGTGTGGTCACAGGGCTAAAGGTCCATGAACAAGCTGCAACCAACAGATACTTTGGACAGATCAGTTGTCCTTGAAAAGGAATAGAAAATTACCAGTGCGTTGGGAAGGTATTTTTAGCTGCAGTTTATGCAAGTTGCAAGTCACTGTTCCATATTGTTAAAATTTTGCAGAAAACTATGATCAATGTGATAGAAGATATACTCATGACTAAGTAATCTTATATTCAGGACAATACCAGGGTGAAGCTGAGGTGCTTGAATAAAATGGACTTGACCAGTGTATGTCCTTGCTGGGCTTCCCAACAGGCAGTAAGGTTGTTGCCAAACTTTATATGCTGTACCCCATGATGCTGACAATATGCCGTTGTATGGCTTGTTCCCAGTAAAAGGGTTGTCTCATGCCTCTTACAAGAACTCATTTTAATTAATTCCCTTTCCATTGAGAAGGGGGATTCATAACAGCATGTGTTTTCTTGGTGCATTTTCTGTTCAGACCAAACACTGCCACTTAACCTCCACACTCATGATGCTTTATCAATGTTCCCAACTTAAAAATCTTTGACTTGAAATTAACTATGGTTGCATTTAAAAAGAAGAAACACCTGTTACAGAAAAAGATAACAAATGACTCCCTCTCTTTAAGAGAGCTCTGTTTCTGAGAGAAAAATTTCAGTTCTATCTTCAGTAAATCTATTTAAATGAAAAACATTAATAACAACAACTACAAAAAAACCCTTTGGTTTAAAAAATGTGGCTAACTGGAAACCTCCCAGTCAGCTAATCTAACCATGAACATGGAAAGAGCCTGAGGGAAGTAAGTGGTCTATTTTTGTGATACTGGATCAGAGTTCTCCTTTCTTATCCTATTTTGGTAGAGAAGAAAGGCAGTTCTTTTAGCTCCAAGTACTCAAGTATCATTTTGTATGGCACGGAGTATACCATCAGTTGTTTCTCTCTGCTCACTGCCTGTTGAGAAGGAAAGGAAACTGGGAAAGCCCCAAGAAATTGGAGAATGTTGCTAGGAGGAGAAAAGAGACCATGAAGGACAATCCCCTATGGGAGGAGCTTTTTTAGAATCTAAAAATCTAAAGTTAAATCTATTTATAGTGCCTTAAATTGAATAAGCATTATAAATTTAGAAATATCTAGGATGGGTAAAGCAAGTGATATATGTTTATATAGACTGAAATGGTTCAGGCACAAAGTAAAAACAGACTCCTAGAGCACAGTTTTGATTTTGTTTTAAAACCCTCATGTGAATAGACAAAGAAGAAATGTTTTGTCTTGTTATTCCAAAGTACTTACCTTGTTAAATCCACATGAGCATTGTCGTGAACCAGCACAAACAGTGTGTATGGATTCTGCTTTACCCGTCTCATAAAAATTTCAAACTTAGCTTGGAGCTCATTGTCAAGGCGCACTACGTATTTCTCTGCTCTCTGATAGGCTGTCCCATTGTCTTCAAGGCCCAAGTCTACAAGAACACCTGCCAAAAATAAAAATTAGAAAAGGGGGAAAATGTACTTTCACTCTGGTGGTGACAGTGATTTCACCATTTCTAGATTTTCTCCAAGGAGAGAGAGGTGTACGGTAATTCCAGAGTCAAAACATTACTAGAAAAATGTCAGACCTACATAAAGATGCTCCAAAATTCCACTGACTTGGCTTTACACAGTGACAATAGGCCAAGTTTTCCCATGTTCTGCTAATACATTATATCCCACTAGAAACAGAAAAGGTATTTTGTCTCCCATACCACTTCAAATATTTATAAATATACAGATTTCTTGCCAATACTGTCAATCTTTTCTGCTTTCCTGAGACAAAGCTAAAATTGCTGCTACCTCCTACAGCCTTTTCCAAACAGCAGGAAGTACAACATTTTGTGTGCAGTTCTTGTAAACTGTCTAACAGACTATACCTATATTCATAAGGGAGACAAAATGTATTCCTTGGTTTGCAATAGAAACTGTTTCCAAGTAATACTGTTAACAGCAGTCCACAGTAAAACATTTATTCTGGATTGTCAGATTTTTAACTAACTATAAATCACTCAGTTAAAAAAAAAAAAGAACAAAGAAGACCTGCACTTACAGTATACAACTATCCTGTGGAACTCCCTGCCATAAAACACTGCAGACCAAAAGTTGAAAGGGATTCAAAATGGATTACAAATGTATACAGATAATCCACAGTTACATTACACGGGATACTTTTAAAGAAAGCTCATAAATCCTGATGTTTCAGGCCACAGAACAGTCATTGACAGACTATGTGAGACAATATCTCCTTCAATAAGGAGAGATTTTTGTGGGAGATAGCCTTTATTGGATCAACTGTATAGCTGGGAGGGACACAAGCTTTCAGGTATGAAGTGCCGTTCCTCAGGTCTAGACCTCAGGAGACACCTAAGGAAGGTTACTTCATACCCAAAAGCTTACCTGTCTCCCTCCCAACTATTACTGGTCCCATAAAAGATACCACCGACAAAAATCCTTGCGCTTCATATTTTTCCTGGACCACCACAGCTGCAACACCACCAAAACTCTCTCTCGACAGCCAAATCAGTCCATAAAAAAGGACATCATGAGCCTTCTGCTTCTCTTTCTGGCTATTCCAGTCACAGAATACTGGACCAAAAAGATTACTAATTGAGTCAACATGGCATTTCCTACATTACTGTGTATGTGAATACAGGCATATTAAATTAAAAAACCAAACAAATCTGGGTTTAATACTATGACCAATAACAAGGACTTCAGTTGTAGTATAGGAGCACATAGACTGGAGACATCTGAGAAAAAGGGAGACCTGGGTGTGCTGGTTGATCATAGGATGACCATGAGCTGCCAGTGCAATGCAGCAGTGGGGTACAAAAAAAAAACTAATGCAATTCTAGGTTGTACTAGGCAGGATATGTGCAGTAGAGACAAGGAGAATATTAGTAGCATTGTATACTGTGTGACCCCATTTAGAATCCTGTATGCAGTTCTGGTCACCAGTTCAGGAAAGATGAACTAAAACTGAAATGAATTCAATGAAGGGCCTCTAAGATGGTTAAAGGAATGAAAACATTTTCTTAAGAAAGATTAAAGGAGCCTGGCCTTTCTCATACAGCTAAATGGAGATTCAGAGGGATATGGTCATATTTTACAAATGCATTCATGGGTGAATATTTAGGCAAGAAAAGCATTTTTCAGGCTGAAAATAGGCCCAACACAAAAATCAAATGACTACAGACTAGCTATGAATACATTTAAACTGGAAATTAAAAGATTTCTAAATATCAGAAAAATCAAGTTTGAAATGGTGTTCCAAGCCCACAGGTAGTAGGCAAAAACCTGATTTGCTTTAAGATGAAACTGGATACGTTTATGGAAAGGATGGTGTGAGAAGACAGGGAGTTATGGCTGAACAACCTGGGTGTTTGTGGTCCCCCAGGCTGGGACAAATACCTTATAGTGTGGGAAGTGTCTTGCAAACTCATTCCTCAGGACTTCTGCAGGTCACCCATTGGGACCAGGAAAACTTTTTCACCTCATGAATGCTATCGACTTCTGGGTTTTGGGGGTTATTATTTATCTTTTGCTGAGGCACTGGAATATTGGCCACAGTTAAATCTGGTGTTTTTTGACTGGGGTGCACTGATGATCCCACTGGCACTTAGAAAACCAGAGGCTACCTGGGTAGAGGGCCTTGTTCTGCTCAGGCTCATATCACTCAAATTTGAGGTCATGAGAGAATTTTCCCCCTAGGTCAGATTGGCAAGGACTGTGAGGTTTTTTGCCTTTCCTGTAGCATAGTTCTTTTCCTCAAAATTTCTGAGCATATATTAACCAACTACTTCCTGTTGTAATAAAAGCATGGCATGAACAATACCTTCATCTCCATTTTACCTATGCCATCCTTCAGGGTGCTCTTAATGTTCTGAGTATTGTGCTTTTTAGTCATGTGCAAAGGTTTGAAGTAGTGATTTTGGTGGCCCCTTGGGTTAATGACTTCCAGCCAAAGCAGGGGACTAGATTCAATGGCTCAGGTGGCCCTATCCACCCCATGTCCCTAAGAAAGTATGAAAAGACATTTGTTTATTCTTTCTTTTGCTTTCATATTGCTGGTTGTTGCCTCTGCTCAAAGATAATCCAACTGTTACAGAAATGTAGCAGCGTCCTCTACCAGCTATGCAGTAGATGCAATAGATTTGTTTTTATGAAAGGTGACCTGTTAGACCTTTTTAGCCTCAAGGCACGCCTTGGAAAATGCCAGCTCTTAGTTTTCACTCTTTGAAATTAGAGCAATTCTTCTGTAGCAAAGAATTTATAAAAATCACTGCAAATCAGAGAATTTTTAACACTATGGATTCTTACGAGAAAGCTCCTGGGTTTATCTTGTGAATCAAGTTTGCAGACCTAACATGTGGCACACTTGACAGGATCTTAAGGTATCCCAGGAGTCCATGGCACCCTGGTTGAGACTCATTACTTTAGACCTTATATGACACTAGCTGGACAAATGTGGGATTTGCAAAATAGAGTCTGGAACAGGTTATTCAAGCACTGCATGCCAGGTGTACATAGATGAACTGGTTTGATTTAATAAAAAAGCCTCCCTCTCCATTGCTTTACCTGATTGTCGAATCCGTTGAAGAGTCTGCTGGACCAGGACCTCTGAACGAGGAACTACAATGATGAAGTCTACTTTACTAAAGTGGCCCAGATCCAGACTTTGATTGCCACTGTCTGCTATAGCACAGACTTGGGACAAGAGCTTTCTGGCAACAGTAAGCTGTGGCTGGTAAATCTGGAAAGTGTCAACATCCAAATCTAATAAGAAAAGGCATCAGATTTTAATTCAGTTTATGTTAAACAAATCTTCAAAATATTCTATCCTACACAGTATAACCTCATTAATCCGGATATAAAAAATCTGGAATTCTCAAAAATCTGGCACTTCTTAAAAATACGCTAAATTGGGGAGTAGCGGTGGCTGGCCCCAGAGCAGTGGAAAGGGAAGCTTGTATGCGGCAGCTGATGCTGCCATCCACCACCCCGTGCTGCCGCTCTGCACGTGGCCACTGCTCCGGGACTGGCTGCTGCTACCCTCCGCCGCCTTCTTCCCCCCTACCCGTACTGTTTCAAAAATCCACAATTTTCAAATTTCCAGCAGGTGCTCGGTCCCGAGCATGCCGGATTCATGAGGTTATACTGTATTAGCAACAAAAATTACTTAACAGAATAAATCCACTTGCTTCCTAGTGGCACTGTACAGAATTGACTTTTGCAATAAAAACATGGCTGAAGCTGGCGTACTGGACAACCAAGAGTGCTAGAATCATGAGGCTAGAGGGAGAACAAACTAGAGAGAGCCTGGCTCTGTAGCTTTGTTGTTACAGCAGTTATCTGGGAAAAAGGAACCCTGGGTTCTGGTCCCTTATCCATCCAAAACTTATACATTTTACATTAAACAGTCTGGGTAAAAATCAAATATAATCCTGGAAGCAAGGAATAGATTCCTCCATCCAAGCCAAGTGCCCTAATTGCAATGCTGCAGTCAGGCTCCTTCTTGCTTTTACTCCATTTAGCTTCATGACTCTTGCACTCTTGGCTTCAATGAGAGGGGTAGAGGTGCAGCCTCATAGAATATTCAACAGCCTGGTGATTGGAGCACTCTCCTAGGAAGCAGAAAATTTGCATTTCAAACTCCCCTTCCCGGATGAGTGCTGTAACTACTACAATTGGATGTCGAAAGATTGGTCCCAACCATGCCTCCTCCTCCACCTCAGGCCACATTCTTGAATAAGTACGATTTTGGCTGCAGCATTCTGCAATGAACTCAAAGCTGTTCAGGTAAGTTAAAGTGTGTTCTGGGTGCACCTTGTGAACTTGGCCCCTCCATGGATTTAGCAAGAGTTCAGGGAGCATCCCACTTCCATTCTGGACTGCTGCAGGATTTAGGCGCGAACTAGACACCTATTTGCTTATGAATATATGTGGAAACTGAAATGTAAAGTCCTAAGAATCCAAAACATAAGTGAATAAACAATTTAGGCACCTATGGAATTTGGTGGCTACTAACACAGGGATAATTTGGATGAGTTAAGAATAGGGCCAGATTCAGGGAAGGTGCGGGGGGTGGGGTGCAGTGGCGTACCTTTGAGTGGAGCAGGTACCCCCTGCTCCATCCAAACTTTAAAACCAACTGCAGTTGTATTTCTATTTAGGCAGTGCTGAGAGAATCAATTAATTTAATAGATCATTATCATCTCCACTCCACGCATGTTAATGGCCCTCTATCCTTTTCTATCCTAGATGTTCCAATGTTCAAACTATCTTTTTTTCCTGAAATGTTTATATCTCTTAGCCATTCCTAGTAATGTCTCCTTTTTAACAGCCCTGAAGACCGTTTTTAGCTCTCCTAAAAAGCCTTAACTTAGGTGTGGCAATATTAACTTGAGTGTAGAAATGAGGAACAATGAAATACTGGGAGTCAAAATGCTCAAGAAGGCTAGATTTTGTTTTATGAATCTGAATGTAAGAGATGTATATTTCATTATAATGATTATGGAACTAATGACACAATATCTTTTAACTAGTTTTTGGATACTTTTCCTTTTTCTTAACTTAACACAAAATCTAGGAAATTGTGCACAATTCCAATCATATTTGCTTTTGCTTTGATCTTAAACTGAGTAATTTAACGCTAGCCCCCTAGAAAATAATAGAGCTTCTAGTTTCTCTTTAACTGGAGAAAAATGTACTGCATTTGCAAAAGTGATTATGTGCCACACTATCTACAACCACCTTTTCAAAATTTTAGATTCACCATTGTTTAAGGCTCAAAGCAATAATACCTGTAACCCAGACAAGCTACTTTACGCAATGAAGCATATACAACATAAAGCTACCTGTAAAAGGCCACATAGGTAGTCTGAGCACAGTCAGATACAGGACACAGATCTCCTTTGCTTTTACTTCAAGACAATGTTCTTTTCCCCAGGCATAACAGTGTGAGATCAGTCCAGAATTTAAGTCTTAAACAGGAATTTCTCCATGTTCTAGTTTGTGCATTGTACAAACTTAGAGTAAAATATTTTAGATTAAGAATCATTAAGTAATATATTTTAGATTCAGGATTGTGAATGGTAAAAAGAGGAAGCTGTTTGTGATACAGGTTTTGTGCCAAGATTATTGCTTTGCTTTCTCTTGTTGATGCATTCTGCCAGAAATGCTAATAATTTTGGCTCAATGCCTGCAGAATACTCTGAGACATGCATTTTATGACATCTACAAATAAGTAACTCTTTACATCTTAGGAGAAAAATATTACCTGGTTCTTGTCCTGAAACCATGGCAGCTGCCTCCTGAGATGATAAACATTCATTAACGTCTCCATTAAAAGGGATTACAACACTGTCTCCTCGCTGATGCTGCATTTTCTCTAGCAACTTGTCCAAATCATCACCTATTTAAGAATTAAGAATAATGTGCATGAGTAGAGCTTAGTATAATTGAAGGAAAACTTTATAGCACATATAGTCTAAATGACTGATGTCATATTTGCTATCCTCAATTTTACTAGTGGCTCACTATGAAGCTTAACTCCAAAAGGTAATCAGAACTGGACACTTTCATATCTTTTCCTTTAGTTAGTAGTGATATTTGATAGTCACTGAGGAACAATTACAATGAAAATATGCTGACTGATCAGCACACAAGCCCTGTGCACTTCTGGATGCCCCACAATCAAATTCAGCACAAATAGGGTAAGGATAGACTAAAACAGGATGGTAGCTTTCATTGCACTGGCCTGAAAGAAAGAGAACTCCTTTATACTCAGTAAACCAAAGGCCACAGAAAGGAGAGGGAGTTATGGTACTCCTTACCCCTTTATTTCAACCCCTAAAAGAAGATATGCCAATACAAAGCGCATTAGGAAATTTCCTCTTTTAGCAGGAACTTGAGAGTCTCCAATTCACTCACCCAAAGATGTATTTTTGAAATGCGATGCCAGGAAACTAACTTTTCCTGTGATGAGCTCATAACTGATCTCTTTTAAGAATTCACTGGTTGTAAGCATACTCTCTGCTAGGGCTCTAGACTGATATTGACCTAGAGAATGCAAAGGACATATCAAGATTAGATACAGCCCACTGTCATTACAAACTCTTCAATTTGTTAAGACTGCGTAGAGGCAAAGTTAATCTTCAACTACAGGTTTCCACTGTCTTTTCAGAGAAGAGACTGGTAATATCAAGGAGTAAGATGTTCAAGCCTACTGCAATAGGAGGCAGGAGGATGAGTTATGTCTATTTAGCACATTTCTTGCAAGTTACTGTCCACAGACATGTTGGCTGAGCTCTAGGATTAAAAGGAAATATGCAGTGTTAGCATTTAGGCTATCCCTCAGAAGGATGGCAAACTTTGCTAAAATGTGAAGAGAAAATTATCACTAGAATCTGATTTGTCCACAGAGAAAGTAATAAATTCAGCTCCTCTCAGGCACACAAGTATGCAATGCAGACCTTCTGTAATGGCCACTAGTGAAAAATGGTACAGCTGAAGTAGTGTCCTGTGTTTCATACTGTTAAAAAATTAGTCATTTGGAGGGAAGGCATGGTGTCAGAGTAGTTAAGATCCCTGGCCCATGAACAACAATAGTACCCAAGGACCTCAGAGCAAGCCGTGGGATGAAAACCGTTTTGCTTGCTCTGAACTCAGGCGGAAGGCTGCCCTCAGTGAATCGAGCTGTAAATGGGTACCTAGTCATTGCCTAGGGAATCAAAGTAACCAGAAATGATGCTGGCCATATTACTTTGTGCACCACCAGCTGCAGACACCTGCATGCCTTAGGCATGGAGCCAATTGAGCTGCTTAGGCTCAGGTTTGGTTTCACTTAGATATTCACCACCATAGTGTAAAAACTATACAGTGCTGTATAAATTAGGGATACATGAGGGCTTTATATTGCACAGAGGACACCTTAAGCTATTTCCCAAGGCAGCTGTACAAAGAAACAAGCACAGTTTCAGGCATCTCAAGCAAAGGATGACTAAATAATCTGATTCAGTAGATCTGCTGGAAGCATGCAGCTATGTTCCATCACCTGCTGAGATCCCTGTAGCCACTAGTGCACAACATCCTGGTGGAGCAGAAGACAGAGCAAAGTGAAAAAATAAAATGGAATCAAAAAATGAAGAGGGAGATTTTAAATTTGAAGCACTGCAAACACAACTGCCTTTGTAACCAGAGAGTACTGTAAAGTTACTTACCTAAAACTACCACACAGAACTCATTTCCTCTAATCTTGGATGCGCAAATTGCAACAACATAATCTGGTAGTTTTTGCTGATGTTTCATTTCATTGAGGGATCTCAGAGTCTCCGAAATACCTTCAGCCAAAGAATTCTGGGTAATCACCACATGCACCATGTCCCGAGATACACTGGCAATTAACCTAGCAAGCCAAGGGAGCTGACCTGGTGACACTGAGACACACTGAGTGCTCATTTGCAAGGAGTGCTCTCTCAGTGTGAACTCCTGCATAGCTTTCAGCATGATCTGTTCAAACTCTTCCCTGAGTGGTATCTGGTCAGGACCTATAATTAAAATAGAACATCTCTTCATCACAATATTGTTGCATTAAAAATAATCAGTCATTTGCCCACCTGGATTTAAGACAGTCTTTTAGACTAACCTAGCATTTTTTCATATTTTTTAACATGAACACATTCTCACTGTTTAATTGTAAAAGTTCTATTTTTAAACAAAAACTGTCTCCTCCCTAGTTTCTCTGTCCTCTACAATCAGGCTACTAAAAAGTAGATCAAGCAAAGGGAGAGAAGAAAATTTGTACTCTTTAGGTGATATGGAAGCAATTTATCTATATTATAAATACAGCCTCCAATGGTCCAGGGAACAGGAAGTCCAATACTCACCCTTTAATCATGACAATGCAGTATGCTAAAACTTGAGGACTGGCCTGAAATATGCTTTTTCTATCACCTCTCCAAGTAAACCAAGTTTGGAAATTACTGGGTAATTGAGTAACTTGATTTAACAAAACATCAAGCTTCTGATCAAAAGAATTGTAAGCATATCTAACACTTGAAATGGACTTCCGACATTGATTACATTAGTTTTAATTGGTGAGTTATAGCAGTATCAATTCCCAAAATAATTCAGTTTTATTAGCATTTTCTCACTAGTATGAATCTAACACGATTAAATATAGCTAGCTTCCGAAGATATCCTGAACAGACAAAACTGTACTCATAAATGAAAAAGAAGAAATACCCAAGTTACAAATTGCCAATATTCCATAATAGCACCACAGGAAACTGATGGATAGTCTAGCAATTTGTTCATCTGTGCAAATATATGAAGTATATGAAATGCATGTTTTCATGTTATGCTTGTGTCAAGACAAAAAAACAGGGGTGAAGGAAAGAGAAGTTAATGGAAAGGAAAAAGTTGACTGAGAAGTAGGAAAATGAATTGGTAAATGACCTACTGTAAAAGTCAGCTAAGGGTGCAAACAAGTAATTCATCACACTCAGTTTAGGTCTAGCTGACTTACTTTAAGCTGTTAGGAACAGTACAGCCCTGGGGTTGTGCTGAGAACATATGCAGGTCCTGTGTTAACCCTTTGTAGATTTGGTTAACATTTTATTGATCTAGTTCACCTCAGAATGTGAACTTAGATCAGGCATGCCATCTTTTGGGCAATTTATATCCTGTGAACATCTGCACAATCTTGGTTATGTCAATCTAAATGTAATGCCTGTATGTATCCTAAATGTCAATGCAGAACCAGCTTTTCTACTGGATTATCACCACCAACATGAGTAGGACGAATCTAATTTTCTGAATGTCAGGCAATTTTCACTTTTGAATTGAGGCAAAAGGTCCTGACAAATATGATAATGACACAAAACGGGTAAAACTCTGTATTTTCCATTCCCCTTCTGTAGAAACATGTTTGTATCTTCAGAATTGTCTCAATGCCTCAGCTACACCAAAGTATCACATCCATCTCTAAAAATCTGGATTAGCAAGGAAATGATGGCTGATGTTCTGTAGTGAAAATTATTACCATCACAAGAAAATGTAAAAAGTCTGCAACATGCTAAAGAAAGAAACCTAAGACTGCACAGAAACAAAAGCAAAAGTGTGTTGAAAGTGACCAATTATGTAGCCTACAAGTTCTAGACTGAAAGAGTTTGAAAACACCCAAGGAAGACAAAGGTAATTGTACAAATGGAAAGGCACAAAATATAGAATGCTGTAAACAGAGCTGAGGTGATGTTACCCGCAGTTCCTGAAGATAAGATAGCCAAATGCAAAATCTATAAGAGCAAAGGAAACAGACTGCAAGAACCGCTGAAACCACATACATTTCCTGATCACACTGGTTCAGGAAAGATCACCCCCTATTAAAGGGCTACCCTCAAGTTATTTTAAAAATTAAGCCATCGCAAAAAACAGTGAGTGGCAATGTAAGAACCCACTGTAAAATTTCAGTTTGTTCTACACGAATTAACAACAAGTATTAACCCACAATCCCAACTGGCTCATTTCTTCAGTTCTCTTAGCTGTCTGCTCAAGTATATCATGTAAAGTGCTTATTATGCACAGACAAAAGAGGTAGAAAGAAAATAACTCAATTTCAAAAAACCTGGAGGGTTCCAGGGTTCCACAGTGCATTCCCATCCACATAATGATACTTTTCTGATTCACGTGTTCAGAGTCATAGGCAATAGGATAAACACGTGAGAACCAATGTCTAATAAGTCTCTCAACCCAAAGAAAATTAATCCTGAATTAGTGAAATAAGATACATTAGGACAGAAGAAATATTCTGACAAGAATGCCAAACAATTACCCCACACTGCTAGTAAGTGAAAATATGACATTTCAAACAGAAAACACCTGGCAACATGCCAAAGAATAGTCAAAGCCACCAGGAGTGGCAAGCAAAAGGACCAGTGGCTTATCTACCTTTGCTGCTGTGGTAGTAAATTTAGTCGGGCTTCTGGCCTACTTGACTAGGAAAACAAAGATCAGAAGAGCTGATACTGCTTATTTCAGTTGCATGTTCTGTGATAAGGAATCCTGCATGCCTTATTACCCTGTGCACAGATGTACAATTAAGTAAACTTGTTTTGGTTTCTCCAAGGTCGTATTTTTTTTTCTCTTTATCTGTATTAAGTATAAATATGCTTAAAAACTTAGAGGAGGAGGATTCCTTTGAAACAGACAAGTGGGTGATTCCCCTTGCTGTCTGGAATCCTCCCTGTGATCACAGTATAGCCCTAAATAAAGAAAAGCTGGCTCTGCCAGTTCTGATTCAACCACAATGAGAAGTTTGATTTCTTCCACAATTTGGTGCCATGACTCGGATAGAGACACCCAGCGTGATCAGCTGGGACACAGACATCTCTTCACTGAAGCCCTGGAGCCAAACCAAGGTAAGAGACCTTTTGAAATCTCTACTGGGGCTTTTCAGTGACAGGCTGTCTCTGTGTCTTCCTGATTCACTGCTTGAGGCTCACCCTATCCAAACTTTTTTTTCTGCCAGAACTGTCAGACCCACTGTGTAAGTAGTAACTGTGAGTAGAAAGAATTAAGGTTAAAGACTCTGTGTTGCTGTTGTCAATGAAAGTATTTCCCCGTGTGAATTGAGTTAAGTTCTGTAAAGAACTATGAGGTCTCTCTGAGGCCAG